GAGATGGCTCAGTGGAATAAGCACTTCCCTGGCAAGCACAAGGGCCTGAGTTCAATCCCCAGTTCCGCCAAAAAAATAAAAATAAATAAAAACTATCATAATGAATATGCATAAATTAGTACACATTGGCATGTCATATTAATGTTCTTGTTTTTTTTTTCCTTCTCCAGGTGTGTTATCTCAGAGGGATTAATTACCGGTGAGAAGTCTCAATAGGAAACTGCTGGGCCAGGAAATAACTGAGCAGCAGGGTGTCTGACCCATCTCTTATTTCTGTGTCAACTAATCAAAATACTAGGTACTCATTTTGGCGCCATTTAATAGCCTTCTTCTGTTAGAACCAGTTTGACCTCTGATGGACAGAGGCTGCATGGTTCTGACCTAGAAATGAGTTTTAATAAAATTTGCCAAGAATCTCTCTTTGAATTTACTGCTCTTATTAGTGCTAGTAACAAATGATTTCTCACTTCCTGCCTCTGGCCCCCTGAGAGGCACTTCCCTCCTCATTTAGAAGTTAGATGTGGCCCTATGACTTGTACTAAAGCCACAGAGAGGGCAGTGACGGGGCCCCTTTTAGGAGAAGCCTCAGGAGGCAGCACATGATCCATTGCATCCTCTACCCCGGGTGAAGGAGGGTAGAAATACATTGCCATGGTGCATCTTCCTTTTCCAAACCATGATGGACCTGTGCCATGTTTGAAAAAAATTCTTGTTTTAACCACAGAGCTGTTAGGCTTCTCTTTAGTGTTTAGCCAGCAAAGTGTGTGGCAGCTCATTGTAAGAAGAGGGAGATGCTCAAGCACAGCCTCCCAGAGCTGAAAGCAAACCTTCTGCGCCCTGCGTTTGTCTGCTCGTTGGTTTTGGTGGTAGATTCGACTGAAGTTGGACACGATCACTGGGACAGGTAGGGCAATGACCAGGACGCCACTCAGCGAACAGATGGAGCCAAAAATCTTCCCTGCGATGGTCTTTGGTACCATGTCTCCATACCTGGTTAGAAAAAACACACACGTTGTTTTAGGTGAACAGAAAGACACTTCTATGTATTACAAATAGTTTTTTTTTTTTTATGCATCAAGTCAAATGACTTTTTGGATATTACCACTTCTACTTCTTGACTAAAACGTAGAGACCTTCAGGCATTAATAAAACAGAATTATGAATATCTCAATATAAAATTTATTTTTCAGTTTCATAGAAAATGATTTTAACATTCGGAAATCTCAGATTAGAAAATATTTTAAATCAGATGATGTAATGATAGCTCTTCAATTTGTCTTTTATATAATATAGGCTAGATTTTTACATTTACTTAATAGTCAATATTTCTATGCTGAAATTTATAGTCTAGATAACACACTTTGCCACTTAATTTTTTCAGCATTGGATTTGTTATGGAGAAAGTAGGACACTACATTCCTTCCATCAGACAGATAATTTAAAAAATAACTTTTCAAAGTTCCCATTAAGCTTCACTTGTGAACTCCAATGGTCATTTCTTCACAATAACCTAACTCAATCTTCATTTATATTTGAAGATTGAATATATTTATATTGAATATATTTATATTTATATTTATATTAGTTGAGTACTCTTTTCAAACCATTTTTTTTTTTGTACTTGGCTTTAGTATTAAGAGTTATTTTTTAAGCCATTCTCCTACTTCTCTGGTTGCTACTTTCTCATCTTCATTTTTGGCTCCTTTCCCATGGCTGGACTTCTAAATCTTGGAGCAACTAAAGTCTCAGTCCTGAGTCCTCTGAGCTCTATGTGAACTTCCTTCCAATGGGATTCCATCTAATCTCATACCTTAAAATTATCTACGTGTACACCAATGCCCCTGATGTTTCTCCTGAAAATCAGTATTCTGATTGCCTTCAGGAATCTGCTCTGATAATCTTTGCCCCTGGATGCCCAGAAGCCTGACAGTAACCAACATGGAACTCTTTCCTCAGTGTCCTGAGCCCTTGCCTTGTGATCCCTCCCTTCAGCCTCTCACTTGCAGTTACATGGAAGCACAAAGCCCTGGCTGCTCCTACCAAAACTACATGAGCAGCTGTCTCACCACCCAGTGTCTACCTCTTTTCTCTCAGCCCATCTAGTTGTCAACCAACCACTGTATTTCATTTGATTCTTTATGCTCAAACTACACTTCAGCGCAAAAACCAAGTGGTCATCACGCCTTGCAGAGCCATGGATAAATGACCACCTTTCCTTGATTGTCCACGTTTGCCATTCTGCAGTTCATACCAACATAAAAGGCAGAGACTTTTACGTGGGTTTGAAGATGCAGATTACACCAGATGACTTGGCTTAAATTCCTCAATGGATTTAAAAGTAAAATAACGGGGCCAGGGAGATGGCTCAGTAGGATAAGCGCTTGACTGACAAACACAAGGATCTGAGTTCAATCCCCAGTTCCGCCAAAAAAAAAAGTAAAATAACTCTAAACTCCTAACGTTTGCCTCCAGGGACCTGCAGCATTAGTGCCTTCCTATGCTTCACACCACTCTTCAGCAAACTGCCTGCCCTGTGGTCACATTGGCCTTCCACTGGGTGCACTGTGCAGCCTCCAGGCCACTCATAAGGTGTGACATAAAAGTCTCCATTAAAAAAACTATTGACAAGCCACTTTTCCAGTGTTCTGGATCTTTCTTCATCATTCCCTATAACATTTTTCCATTTTATTATCATCCCAGTTCTTAGCCACACTTTAAATTTTCTTATTAATTTATTTATATTTTTTTATCTTTCATGTACCTTCTGAAAATAAACCTAACAAAGCATTAGTTGTCTATTTACTGTCTTACTAGCATAAAGCAGGCTCTTGCTACATACAGGTTGAAGGAATGCATTTTCTTTTCTTTTCAGTACAGAGTTTGTCTCAGAGTTCATTTCTGAGAAAAGAGGCAAGAAGGAGGTCTGCATTCTATCTGGAGGGTAACCTTGGGATAACTGCCTTTACTAACACTGCTCTTGTGAGAAAACATTTATGTATGAACATGAAGAGGGAAGTGGCAGCAGAACTGGCAAAGGACGGCTGCCGATGAGAGTGACAGGGACTAAGCTGGCCGCACTGCGTCGGAAGGCCCCATCAACGCTCTGGTCCTCTGCTTTGAAGGCCCAGGCCCTCATTCATTCTCGTCACTGTCTGTGAGCAATCAGCGCTGAGCTAATTCATGGCAACTAAAATTACCACAAGGCCTTGGCAGCAGCATGACAGCACTGCATTACTATAGCCTAATAAGACGACGAGAAGACTGGAACGCTGTGCACATCGAACAACGGCTCTTCCTGCAGTCCAACTGAGAAGCCACCTCCGAAGCTACACACTACATTAGTGAGGGAATAGGAAAGCTGAAAAAAAACTTGGAAGATAGGCAGCAGAGAGAACTTGAGGAGATAAGAAGGAGCCTGGAGATGGGGAAAGATGGGGAAAGGGGTAAGTAAATTCAAGATGTGCTATGAATACATGCCAATTCCCCAGCATGGATGCATTTATTATGCAGCACGAGCATACACTATGCATTTTAATAAAGGCTTGAGGCCATCTCCCGAGATAAGTCAATGGGCATCGAAGGCCAACTCCTATGTGCAATGCTATGTACTCATGAGTCAATTCCCATGTAGACCAGAGTTCACAATGCATACATCCTCATAGCTTTTCCTTTTGTGCTGCTTTTACAGTATATCCTGACGAACACACACACACGCACGTGCACGCGCGCACACACACACACACACAGCTTTGAGGAAATTTGATTTTAATGCTTACCAATTAAAATTTAGAGGAAAATTGATTTTCATGTCTACCATTTAAAATTTAGAAAGTAGGGCCAGCGAGATAGCTCAGCAGAGTAAGAGCCTGCTTATGCAAGCGCAAGGACTGGATTTGATCCCTGGTACCACATGCCCCATCTGCCCAGTTCCCGGGTGCACTGAGCCAGCTACCAAGCTCAGGTGTGGTGGTACCCACCTGTAATCTCAGCGCTGGGGAGGCTGAAAACAGGGGATCATTACAAGTCTGAGCTGCGTAGTGAGACCTCGTACCAAACACATTAATTTTTTTTTTTTTTTTAGAAAGTAATCCTCAAAAGGGAAAGTAAATAAAATTTAATTATTTGCCCAGGAAGATAGCCACAGAGTCCATGTGATTAAAGTGTTCTTTCAAAAATACAAATATATAAAATAGATAACTGATCTGTCATATAGTTCCTTCTGCTCTTCTCTAATAATTTTATTTATTTATTTATTTTTCTGTATTTAGGACAGGCTCTACAGGGTCTCACTATGCACTTGTAGTGATTCTCCTGTTTTCAGCCTCCTAAGTACTAGGATTACAGGTGTGAACCACCATGCCTAGTCTCAATCCCCATCTCAGCACACCCCAGGGGTGGGGCCAGCATGGCATGCCAGGAATCGAACCCCGGCTGCTGCACTCTGCCTAAGCAGGTGCTTTAGTCTGCTGAGCTATCAGGCTGGCCCTAAGAATTTTTTAAATTAGTTTTTATTAACTATTTCTTTTATTATGGGTATAAAACGTCACACAGGAGGCAAACAGCATACTTGTAACTATTATAGAACATTAAGAACTGAAAATCCAGTTTGACCAAAGGTGGCAAATTGAAAAAGTGACAAATTCTTCGTGGCAATTTAGTGTCATACAGTTATGTCAAATTAGTAACTTGTACTGTGTTTGTTTTGCAACCCAACATTGCTGCACCATTCAAAAGTGTAGGTTAGCACTGAGAGGAGGGGGCCGTTGCAAAGACCACTGCAGAGGAAGGAGGAAGCAAACACGGACGGGTGGTGTGGCTTCTCTCTCATTTCTCTAATACACTAATTCTATATAACAGAATGATTTTTTAAACTTTTCTAAGCTTTCCCACATATTTCTAATTTCCTTTTTCCTTGAAAAGTTTTCTTCTTTCCACAGTCACCATGTTAGTAGAGCCATCTTAGTCTCTTTCTGCTCCAAGGTGTGCGTGTGTGTGTGTGTGTGTGTGTGTGTGTGTGTGTGTGTGTGTATGTCTTTGACACAAGGCTTTGCTATACTGTTCAGGCTGGTCTTGAACTCACTTTGTAGCCCACGCTGGTCTTGAACCCACAAGGAATCCCAGCCTCCAGAGTGCTGGGATTACTGGCATATGCCACCAAGCCCAGCTCTTGGACATATGCCAGTTTATAGGCCTTTTTCTTTTTCACATCAGCCAAAACATTTTAATTCTAACTTACACATTGCTTAACTTTACTTGGCTAATTTTTTTTTATTTTTATTTTTATTTTTTTTTTGCCATGCATTAGAAATCAATGCTGGGTGGAAGACTAATTCCTCAGAAGACATTTAATTTTTGATTATTGAATATTTCAGTCTCAAACACTGTCCAAAAGTCTCATGCCAAGTCCTTAAATTTTGGCAAGTAATCTACTAATTTAAGGCCAAAGAGTAGTACAATCTGGTTATTTCAAGCAAACAATTCGAATGAGTATCTACCTACCTACCTACCTAGTTACCTACCTACCTGTCATCTGTCATTAATCCATCAATTATTCATCCATTTTCCCAATTTATCAAATAACAATGACATGGGTTGGAACATCTGAATAGCTTTTAACATAGCATATTGCAAACCAAATTTTATCAATGTCTATTCAGCTTTTCTATTTGGCATTTGTCAAAAAATGTTTGCCTTAAGAATTCAAATGGAAATACTTCCTAGAATTTTCTTATGCAATCTGTGTACCTCCACATTAAGATTTCAAGTTTTTTTCATACAGTTTGCATTTTTATTCCTTATTTGAAGAGCCATAAATATAGGTTAATCTGATAAAAAAGAAACGGTGTAGAATGTAACCTTTCCCAGCTAAGGCATGACTTTCCAAAACTGAAGGTATATGCCAGGGATATCAAAAGAGAAAATCCTGTGTATCATAAGTAACTGTGCAGGCTGGGGAGATAGCTCAGAGGAATAAGTGCTTTTCTGGCAAG